GATTCCACTCGTGCGATGCCTCAGGGAAGATAATCGCCATATGCTGTTCATAACGATTTTTCAGAGATGTCCGTAAAACTCGTGGGTCCTCCTCTAACATGTATTCCATTTTCAAATCTGGGTGGATATGATTCCTTATTATTCTTAAGGCAGAGAATTTTGACATGTTAGAGGGGGGGACGGTTCCATCTGCTGTATCGTCTATACATCTGTATAGTCCATTGGTTGACAGACTCACTTTGAGATCCATCGCCCAAATAGGGAAATTGGAACCATCGAGAGCGAGTATATCGAACTCTTTGGTTGCCATCTTACCTACATTGTGATAGCCAAAATTTTGAGAAATTATGGCATGGTTGGAAAAATAAAAATAAAATAGGGCGAGAATAAATTTGCAAAGTAATTGTATAATAAAAGACATGGAAATGCTTAAACACACCCATATATTAACAATATCAGAGAAGTACAAAGTGCTGATGGCAAATGTAAAACTCTAATTATTTGCTAAAATTTAAATGACCAAAAGGTCAAGTACTATAATGTAAATGCAGAAAATATAAATATTATTGGGTGATGGGCCGAAAATAATGAGTATTTTGGCCCTCCACCACTGTAGGTCCATGGAGGCGAGGAGGGATGGCGCAGGGGTTGGCGGCCCATCAGTGGATGGCAAATGGGCCGGCCTGGCCGCCGCCTCAAGCCACCGCCGTCGCCGCCCGCAACGGAGGCCGCCCCTGCCGCCGCTAATGTGGGGCACAGCCACCGCCGTCGGGGGCCGGCGCGGCTGGGCGCAGTCGCCGCCGCGGAGGCCGTCTCCGTCGAGCACCGGCGTGGCTAGAGCACGGCCGTCGCCGCCGACGGCTCGCCGCCGCCATTGACGCTGTGCAGCTGTGGCTGCCATCTCCGCCGAGGACTCCCCCCGACGCCGTGGACGTCGGTCCGCCGCCGCCGGGATGCAGCAAACGCCGCTGACGCCGCCACCGCCGCCACCCTGCACCCTCCCCCCTCCCGGACCCTTTACTCCCCTTGCTCAGGCCTCCCCTTCACCCAAGGGTGGGGGATGGCTAGGCTTGCCGCCACCGCTTGTCTTGGCCGGGGCATGCCCGGTCTTGATGATGCGACGGGGGTTGGGGAGCGATGGGGCCAGTGGCGAGGCGGAGCTCTCGCCGAAGCCCCCTGCTGCCATGTAGAACGGTGGGGCTCTGTGGCATGCAGCAAGGGTTCCTCTGAGGAGGAACTCCGGCGGGTTGGCCGGTGTCAGTGTGTGCAGCAGTGTCTCCGGTGTCTCCGGCATGCAGTCCGGTGATGATGGTGGAGAGATGACGCGGCGGAGATGATGGGTCCAGCCATGATGAGGGCAGAAGGCCGTCACCACGTCCGGCATGTCCAGCTGCGGTCGCACCCATGCGGTCCACCCATGGGACGCACAGTGGTGCGGTGCCTCTACCAGAATTCTTTCTGGCGCTGAGCACATGTCCGGCGTTGCTGGAGACCCTCGACGAGTGGCGAGGGTACTGGAGTCGGTGCTGCCGGCTCCGGAGTTCCTTTGGGCAGCCTCTTCCTCCATGTCCGGCAAAGCCAGGAGGAGGAGACGGGGGGCCACGGCCGGCATTGCCAGCACGACGGCCCCTGCCGCGTCGTGTACGACGCACGGGAGCCCGAAGGATCGTCTCGAGCTGTTGCAAGAGACGACGAAGGTGGCGTGCACGGAGGTTGCGGGGAAGGGAGGAGTCGGCAGTGAGGGGAACAGGACGAGCCATTCTTACCACGCACGTGCCGGTGAGTCTTTTCACTCTTCTCTCTTGGTAGAGCTGCTAATAACGTATTAGAGAACAAAGATGAACAGTGAAAAACAGTGAATCCTCCAAGTCTTATTGATCTCAAAATGTCCCCTTTTATAGTGTGGATTTACATATGCACAAGCCTAGGATACTCCTAGGAATTAAGGAGCCTAGGATACTCCTAGGAATTAAGGGTGATTTAAGCCACTAAATATGACTGATTATGTGTCAAAAATTCACCATAGTATGGCGGTTACAAGTCACTTGATTCCTACCATTGTTGCTCTTTGATGAGCCTTTGATGAGATCAAAAATGTCTCATGATGCTTTTGTAACAGAATCATCAGTTATCTCGCAGTTTGACGTTTGTACTCCAATTAACTGATCGATCAAAACTTGTGATTGGTTTCAAACATAATGGCTGCTCCATTTCGGCAGACCGCCAGGCCCATATGACTGAGGGTTGTGCCTACCTTGGTTATAGTGAGCCTGTCGTCAGTGACGAACCGGGAATGACAGGACAAGTACTGAAGGTCAACACTCCTGTATGAGCCACACACAGCATATTTCACAGAAATAGAGATGGCACACGGCTATAATAACCATGGTCCTGATGTCTCCAAAGCCTCACACATATGATCTCCACAATATTATCCATGTATATATATATATGAAACTATACAAACATCGACACTTAGCAAGTTATGGTGCCTAAACGGTTTGATGAAGATGCGATCCGAGAGCAGTGAAACGAAATCATAAGTAAAGGTTCACCAACAATAAGTTGAGGAACATAGTGTTTTTCAGGACACTAGGTTGGACAACGGTGAGCTATATATATACACCGTAGGATCCTTTCCTACAGTTTTTGTTAAAAAAAAATCAGCTCTCAGTCGCATTAATTCAGCTCTCATCAATTCAGCTCAGCAGGGACTGAAATTTTTGTGGGAAGAAACGGAACCACTGACGATATATTAGGGCCTTGTTTAGTTTCCTAACTTTTTCTTCAAACTTCTAACTTTTCCATCACATCGAAACTTTTCTACTCACACCAACTTCCAACTTTGTTCCTCAAACTTCCAATTTCAATTAAACTTTCAATTTGGTGCGGAACTAAATACGGCCTAGGTCGCATGCATGCATGTGGAGAAGATCTCTTCTTTGTCCTTAAGAAATAGTACTACCACCTTGGCCAACTTGACAATGTAAGAAGCCCGAGGCCAACACCTACTTCTAAATAACTTGACAAAGAACTAGTACAAGCCGCTGGAGATAATTAACAGGCTCAAACTCAACCATGTTGGACAGAAGATAGCTATAATCAGCTAAGCGTTCATGGCGGCATAAGATGAGCAAACGAGAATAAGCATCTACATTGTCTTGATTCTATTGTATTCTTCTTTCTTATTTGCATATAGAGACTGAACAATGAACAATTGTATTTCACATACTCATTTTTTCAATCAATGGAAAAACGTAAAACCAGCCCATATAAAATTCACTGTCTTCGAAGAGATCACATGGGAGGGTGCTTTTCCTTTCTTTTAATGGAAAAGAGAGTTTTATTAAATGAATAAATATTTACATATTAACTTAGGATTTTTTCTGTCGAACACTAGACGAGGAATTCCCCCCATCGAACTGTGTTACAGAATCAAGCACAGCTAGCAAGACCGTTACCAACTCCACTGCACTCTCTGCTAGCCAATTCAGTTTTTACTTTTCACTTAATTTCAATAGCCACATTGTCGCCTTAATTTCAACCAATAGATAAGTTTCATAAATACTGCTTGTCCTGTGCCTTCTTTAATCTTTGGTACCAACAAGCTACAGTGAATGAGATTGTTGGAATTTGAAGCTATTTCAGGAGTAATTGCAAAAACTATGAATTTTGTTTCTTCTAAATCGATCAAAACATCTCGTAAAATTCACCAAGACGATAAAAGGTACCTGACATGATTATCACGAACCAAAACAACTATGCTTCCATTCACCATGACGATGTCATACAGGCATAACCATAACCATGATCCCGATGTCTCCAAAGCCTAACACATATTATCTCTAGCATAGTATGATGAATGTGGAAAACCTATATATCATAACTGAAGAATTAATATGAATTCTTTACAATTGTTTCACTAAAATCAAATTGTGTTTTGATTATTATTTTGTGATGAACAATAGGCATATGAAATAATTGATTTTGATATTTGGTGGATAATTGACGAAGTGGGATTGGTTTGGTCCAGTCATACTGCACAGTGGTGGTCGATCAGATTGGCGTATGTTGTGCGGTCAGATTGGCCAGTCTGACAGTATGACCGGCTGATTCTGTCTCGGTGTTGGTTTTAGGTTGTTTCTTTGGATACTCGTAATTATCTCGTGATTATGATTTCTAGATGATTTCTATGCGTATATAATACTGTTATGTGACAATGTTGAGTAAAGTTGGGAAAGAACTTGTGCTGGGATATGGTTTCTTGTTGATTAATGTGTAAGTGTGTCTTGATGATGCAGTAGCACTGCCGGTGATGGATCGGGAATCAACTTGGGAGAAAATAATGTCCGAACGATTAGAATATCATACGGGATGCTTAGGCTAAAGAACAATGCACGTGGTTGATAGAGATTCCATGTGACATACGATGGGAGATTGCGTGCATATAGAAAGTGCAGTCAAATTTGGAAGTAGTCCAAGTTTGGGAATATTAGAGTTTAAATTGAAAAGATATAAGTTTGTTTCTTGTACGGGAAGGTTTCCTAGTGAACTAGGACTTCTTATAAAGATTGGATTCATGGCTTTAGGCAGCTTACCTCACATATAAATAGAGAGGAGGTTAAGACCTCTCGGTATTGTTTTTTCTAAGAGTTGAGTTTAGAGTAAAGTTAAGGTTTCGAGTTTAGTCGAATTTTGTGATAGGAGTGTTATTGTTGCACTTTGTAAATATGAATAGAAGCAGTAAAGTTTAATCTATTTTCAAGAGATTTTCAGTTTGTATTTGCTCGAGTTTGGCGGTCAGACCGGCGAATCATCGGCGGTCAGACCGATGGCATAGCTTCGGTCAGACCAGCGACTTCCAGGCAGTTGGACCGGTAGCGACTACAGGCGACGACAACTAGGCAGACGGTCAGACCGAAGTGACTACACCGGTCAAATTAGAGGCGTCTATGCGGTCAGACCGGTGCAACAACTCCAGTCAGAGAGATCTGCATCGGTTTCGAGGGTAGCTTTTAGTTCAGTTACATGTTTTCGGTTTTTGGTGTTTCTACCATTTACCCTAGTAGGCTTAGTTCTTGTTGTTTTGAACCGTGACAGCAACAATCTTTTCTGGGAGGCTGAATAAAGTACAACAAACACAGAACATGGACGACGAGGTGAAATTCAACTATCCTGAAGGTATCTGCAAGCACAGCGTGACCGCGGCGATGGCTGGGGAGGCCACAGACGGTGTCCCATGGAGGGCACATCGTGTAGCTGCCACCATCGTCAACAAAGAACTCGATTGATGTGAACCGATCCACTCCTGGTGCAATGAGTTTTGTGTCCTATCGAAGCTCCAGGTCTCTTAACAATACATAGGATGCGGCTTCCACACTGGTGCAGTTGATTTATTCGGAAGCATGGCGATCCTGTTGCCTCCCAACCCCAGTATGGTGCATGCAGCCAGTCAGATCCTACAAATGAATCATATCACTGTCAGTTTATATTTGAAAGTCAAAACACGAAATACATTTTAGGGGCTAGTTAAAATTGTGTTACACTCAGTAATACTTGCTAACTACTCCGTATGTAAGATGATTTTGTAGTTTCCACTACCATTGTTGGCCAAACTGACATGGCATGGTTATTGGTGCTGCACGTGAGGATGTATATGATTGAAATGCACAATTTTCACATGTATCATTTTTCACGGTATCTAAAGCGTGGAATAGAGATATTTGAACCATTTCCTCAGGCCTCCGTTACTTTAATAAATGGATTCTATATCAAGCTATAGCTATTGCATTAAACAATAAAAGAAACTAATAGAAATCAAAGGAATGGGACAGCAGTAAATTGAGAGGAAGATTCTTCTAGTTTTCTTGTTCTTGGAAACATTCATAATTCGAGAGCTACAAAAGGAGATCCATCGTTTGCAATGAAAACTACATAAAAAGAGCTCTAGAAAATTTAAAAATCAGTCTAGGTGTCTTTAACACTTGCAAAAAAGAATCATTATTGGTTGACCATTGACTTAACATTTAACTAGTTGTATATATCACTATTGGTTTGATACAAAGGATGGCAATGTTTCAAGTACGTTAAGAATATAGATGTAGGACAATTTATCTAGAATTACTTAAAAGCCTATTTCCTATATCATATTTATATCTCATGAAATTCTTGAGCCGAAAGACGGATGCGTATGCTATGTTTCATTTGCTAAACGATATCAATTGAAATTGAATGGTGTATTAACTCCATAAATCATATATAGCAATAAATATATAAGCAAAATCTTTTATTTTAGTTAGAAGAAAAGTTTCTTCCATGATTGATACCTCCTTCTTCCATGCATTCACCATCAGGTGGCATGTCTTGCAGATGTTTCTATAAGAGAAAGGCTTCCATTATTTTGAGAAATGGATACAATTCAAATATAGATATTGCATTTGCACTAAAGAAGAATATAAGTTTTCTTGTTCCTGAAAATATTCTATCTCCTAGTCGCTTTAGAGAATTGAAAATTGTCATGCCTTTTGATTCTTCTACTAGTACTTGGAAGAAAGTTATGGAATAAAAAAAAACTTAGACAATTTAAAAATCAAGCAAGTGTATTAATACATATGCGAAAAAACCATTGTTAACCCATGATTGTTTGGAAGATTTAACTTGTATAAATCATATCAGTTTGATACAAATAATGGCAATTGTTTCAGTATGTTAATGGTACAGATGTATCCACGATTTATTTTAAGAGCTACTTAATAGCCTACTTCTAATACCATATCTCTGTCCTGTGAAATTCTTGAGCCAAAAGATAGATTGCATATGCTATGTTTCATTTGCTAAACGATATCAATTAAATAGTGCATCAACTCCATAAATTAGCAAAATTCTTTTATTTTAGCTAGAAGAAAAGTTTCTTCTCCGATTTATACCTCCTTGTTCCCCTGCATCCGTAAACAAGCATGTCAAATGAGGATTAGTGTACTTGAGTTTTGCATAGGTCTTTTCCAAGCTCCCCTTCTCAGCCTCAACCCATAAAGATCTGAAATATAAAAAAAAGCCCAAGTGAATGCTGGGATTTGTAGCATGGACATGTATGCTAATATGATTTAAAAAGCAGAATATATTTTTTTTTAACAAAAAACGAGAGGCAGGAGGCTTGGCTCATATATTAGTAGGAATAGAACGTTTAGGACATTGTAATCCCTTAAATACGAGGAAACAAATCAGATCTAATGATTAATTTAAAACGGGGAACATGAACTATTGTTATAATTGCAAATAAGTTAGATGGATTGCAAATAAGTCTAGTAATCCACCTGCGTGGTCTAATCAATTGAAGGTTGACAAAATGCATACTGGTATACAGGACATTTGTTAAGCCAACTATGGACAGGTATTGAGCAATTAAAAAAATTTCAGTTTGGCAAAAATTCAGGAAGTTGTTTCTTTAAGTTATGAAAGTTGGCTTTGTAATCTGACAGATTGTGGAAATGCGACGTTCTAGAGGCATTATCATTTACCATAAAATTTTTATTTGCCAGAATTATACTAAGAATTTGGCCTATGAAATACTCCAAGAACCAATATAAATGGTTGTGGAATTTTTTAGATGATATAAATGGTTGTGGATGTATAGCCCGACCTTAACTAATCTGATCCATTGCATTGAAAAGAGTGGACAGTTCATGCACATGTGTGCATACTGTAAAAAAAAAAACATAACTCTTAATAGGGTACATGAGACCTTTAAAGCAATAGTTAAAAATACAATAACAGGCTGTATGACAAATACAATAACAGGCTGGAGTAAAAATACAATAATAGGGTACATGAGACCTTAAAAAAAAACATAACTTACCACCCTAGTTGTATGACAAGTACAATAACAGGCTGAAGAAAAATATCGTACAATTCAAATTAGAGAGGATATTATAATCTTAAAAGGTAAAACCAACTATGATATTTCAAAATTATAATTCCCATATTAATCACATAATATATCTGAGATTTATAATAAATTTATGGAACATATGAATAGTTTTTTACACATAAACTGGCTGTGTAGTTTAATATCTAGTGATAGCATATGTGTCCCTTTTTTAATGGAAGGCACCAGAGAATCAATGGCATGTTTTCCTTTTATAAATTGGTCCTTTCCTTCTTTTTTTTTCTCTTTCCAAATACTAACGTGTAAAGTAATGGTGTACAGAGACAGAATTGACCTTCAGATTGTCAAATAGCCTTTGACCCTCAAAGGAAATAGTCAAATAGGAAAATAATACCATCATATCATATAAGATAAATGGTTCCAATGAATTGTAGTTCACCTCAAAATGCTCAGCATAGAACAGAACAAAAAGGCTTGTAAAAATAAACTAGTTTCTTACTTTGATTCAGGAAAATAGTACTCATCATCTTTTGAGTAATCTACTTTCCAATCAAGAAACTTCCCTGGAAGTGGCTTAGCAGCACTTAAGGGTATCAATGAAGATTTGACCTGCATAAGAGGAGCATTAGGCAGTTTGTTCTTGTATAGACAAGAACTTACAACAGCATTAACTGTTTAAGGGGAAAAACCCACACCTCTATTGTCAGGATATCAGACTGCTGTCCGAAAACGAAACAAAAGGATGTAATGTCGTCGAAGGGGATGTCAACCTTCCTACACAGCTTGTCCTTGGACATTTGGAATATAACTGACTTTTTGTGGTAGAAGAACTTAACAAATATGTCGCATTCATTTGTCCGAGCGAACTAAATGTGTTCAAAACCATGAACAGAATCATCATGATCAGCACATAACAGCAAACATTTTATAGAAAACCAAGAGTACATTCAGGCATATATACCTTTTTGTTGCCAATGTGAAGTGCCAGGACAGGCAATCTTGTTGGCTTTATCTGGCTGTGCCATTCAAGCTGATCTTGTGCAGTTTTGAGTTGGCACTCAGAAGTAAAGCCTTGACCCCACTGCGGTATAAGTCTGAGTCTCATGAAGTTAAGAAAAGGTTCATTTAACTTCAGTTCAAGATCTTCAGCTCGCAGCTCATCTTTCTTATCATGTGCATCCTCTAATATTTCTCCTCTCTGCAGAGTTGTTAATAAAAAGTTTAAAAGGCTTAATGCGAGTCAATAGGCTGTAATGCTCATGGGACATGCCAAATGAAAATGATTTTGAGGGAAACAAAAACCTCAGTTAGATGCGTGTGGTTGCTGCCACCACCTGGACCAGATATTTCCATTCTGAGATTTGGCTAGGGCCTAAACTTTGCAATTATAGATCTACCTGCAAGAATGGTCTTGATTTTAGATAGAATAATGTAAAATTTACACAAGATAATGAAGAGTAGTATGCCCATCCCTATGTAGAACAAATATAGCATTTAGTTGGGAAAACAATCTGCATTTGTTCATATCATTGCAGAATCTTTGAAATGTATACAAAAAGGCATGATTACTGAGATTTATACTCTGAAAATGACATTTTAGCTTATAATGTAGGAAAACTGACTCCATACGACGCTAAACATGTTATTGCGAAGCAATTGAATGGTTTCAGGATCCAAGAACTGGTTTTACAATCATGCGCACTACTAGTATGCAGGCACCTAGTTCAGCCAGATGAGAGAATGTGGCTACTATTTTTTTTATAAAGGAAGCTTTTATTAATCTCAGACGATTACATCAAGTTGATAGAACCATATACCATTACATCTATTTGTGCTTAGAATTAGTTGCATTGTACCATAGAATTGTACCTTATTTCTCCTGTTCTCTGGCCTACATCTGCACACGTAATTTGCTGTGCTGATGTCAAGTTGTCTAATGTTCAAAGTTATGTTCAGGATGCTCACATGCCTTCATGTTGGTGTTGGTACAGCAACATGGAAATTCCACTGGCAGCAGCTCAGTTCGTAACTGTGAATTGGCTGTCGAACGATGACTTTTTCTCGGATATGGTTTTCTAGTAGCAAATCTAATTCTTCTATATATAAGTTGCACTGCGGGGGCATGAATTGTTCAAGTCACTACATACATTATGATACATATACGCCCCAAATTGAACAGATTAGCACAAGTATACGCCCTAAACTATCTGAACAGAATTTCGCCCAAAATTCAGGCGAGATCCCGTCGAAAAATACCAAATGCGTCTTAAAACTTGTCAAACTAGAGCCGAAACGGCAAATAACCACAGATTAGCAAGTGCACGCAGTACACGTCCTAAATTACTTCAATCTAAGAACCAACCATAATTGCAGCGTGCCTGGTAATGTCTGGGCCAGAAGAATGTAAAAGCGACACTGATCAAATAGAAGTATATAGAACCCGGGGGTGAAAAACCTAAGCACGGAAACACGGATATAATTCCGCCCTTGCGGTGAGTACTTCCCTCCAGCCGATGAACCAATCAAAGGGAACCACAGAGAAATTCGTCTTACCTCCCCGTAGGATCGGAGAGTGGCTCGGTCCGCGGCGGCGAAGATGAGGAGGAGGAGAGCAGCAGGTGCGGTGTGGCTTGCCGTTCCCGGCCACGGTGTGGCGAGTGGCGACGGGGTGGGGGGAGGGAACGAAGCGGCTGCGGACGGCGGGCGCAGCCGGTGGGGATGGGAAGGGCCCTAGGGCGGCGGAGGCGGTGGCGGTGGCGCGGCGTAGCGGAAGAGGAGAGGTGACGCGCGGGACGACGGGACGAGACGAGACGAGGGAGACAGTTCGTTTATGGTGTCTTCTTCTCAGCCCACTCCCGTGCCCAGTGGACGGAGGAGGAAAACGGGAGCTTCACGTGTACCGCGGCGCAGGCAAAGCCGGACTCCACCGTGTTTCTTCCCCTTCTTTCCAGCTAGGCAAATTTTGCTAGACAATTTGATGATTTCGTGGTTTTAGCCGTAGAACACCGCTCGAACTCACTTTTAGGGAATAACACTACATAAACATGGTAATTTACCAATGGACACTGCACCGATTACCATAATAATTTTCGGTTGAAGAGTAAAGAGAAATCGCTTGAAATATAAAAAAAAAATCGTTGGGCCCACGTGTCAGCTCTTCTATCTCTCTTCTCTTCTCTTATCTCTCTATCTTCTCTCCCAGAAGATAACGCGGCTGCTGGCCTCCTCGATCGAGGGCGCGCGCGGGGAGGAGGCGGCAGGCGGGAGTGGAGGGGGCAGGGAGGTGGAAGGCGGCGGCGGGTGTGTCGACGAAGGAGGCCACGACGAGGAAGCGTCGGGCGAGCAGTGGCGAGGCCAGGTGGTTGTGGTGGCGAAGCGGCACGGGGCAGCGTCGGTCGTGGGGAGGAGGAGGGAGACGAAGGACATCGCGTCGCTTCGCGAGGCGTTCGCCGCGCCGGTGGATGGGGAGGTGGAGGACTTGGATGTTGCGGCAGCGAGGTGTGACTTCTACGGGGTGTTCGACGGGCATGGCTGCTCGCACGTGGCGGACGCGTGCAGGGAGCGGATGCACGAGCTCGTCGCGGAGGAGATGGGCGCGGGGGCGGCGCCGCGCGAGCCGGCGTCTTGGACAGGCGCCATGGAGCGGAGTTTTGCCAGGATGGATGCCGAGGTGATTGCCGGCTGCCGAGCCGAGAGCGGCAGCTGCCGGTGCAAGGGGTGGAAGTGCGACCACATGGGGTCCACCACGGTGGTGGCCATCGTGGAGGAGAGCCACGTCATCGTCGCCAACTGCGGGGACTCCAGCGTCATGCTCCGCCGCGACGGCGCGCCCGTGCCGGAGGTGACGGTGACCGATAGGTCGGACGGCAATGAGTGCCTCATCCTCGCCAGCGACGGCCTCTAGGACGTCATCAGCAATGAGGTCTCGTGCGAGGTGGCAATAGGAGAGAAGAGAAGAGAGATAGGAGAGCTGACACGTGGGCCAAGAGTATTTTTGACATTTCACGTGATTTTTCTCTCCTCTTCAATAAGAAATTATTATTCTAATCGGCGCGGTGTGCATTGGCAAATTACTACGTTCATGAAGTGTTTCCCCCAAAAGTGAGTCCGGGCGGTGTCCTACAGCTAAAACCACGAAATCGAAGTGTCCAGTAGCAAAATTTGCCTTCCAACTAACCTCTTTTCCGCAATCGAAGTGTCCTGTAGTAAAATTTGCCTTCCAACTAACCTCTTTTCCGCACACGCGCACGTTTACTGAACTATTAAAAAATTATGTTTTAAAGATTTTTTTAAAAAAAATTGCTTCAAAAAATTATATTAAGCTATAAAGAACCTGTGTTTGTTATTTTTTCTTTATTGTTCTCGTTTCTTTCTTTAGAGTTGTAGGCTTGTTTTTTTTTTTTTATAGTTGCCATCATTTCGGAGATTCCATAGTGCAGTTTGAGTTTGTCGTGGAAGCTTCAGAAGCCCTCCTTTTCTCTGAGCAAGGCAAGTCATGCTCTCCTTTAGCATATTGAATCCTAATTTGTGAAAAGTATTTTAATTGAAATTATTGTATTCACTTTATTAAATTTACCGAGTTATAATTGTTTTACTTATCATTTCCTATATTTCCTTCACTCCTAGAAAAATCATTTTCGCCGATGTTAGGGTTTTCTTTCGCAGGCGGGTACTGTTGGTAATTCATAACGTCACAGATAGAATCCGCAAGCGCACGGATTACCGAAGTAGCACTTCCCCTATGGAGTATTCCAAGGGTATCGAATCCAAGGGAACGTGTGTGATTATCTCTTCCTCCGGTTCATCCAAGGACACAAAGCTAATGTTGGCAAAGGGCAGAGAGAATTTCCTAATGAGAAACAGTGTCTAGGGAAAGCTTAAGTTTAATCCTAACGCAATACTTCAGGCACCGGCAACCCGCTGTTCCCAGATGATGCTCTACTACGTACCCGGGCAGGGAGGACTTAAGTGCTCTTGAGGGCTGTCACCACCTCTACACCCACCTCAAACGTACTGTGGGATACGCAGCAACCACTGGAGATTAATTACCCAGACACCGCGTCTATGCAATTAATAACTACTCTAGTGCCGATCAAACACTAAAGTAGTCACTATAAATAAATGGACTATAGTGAACAATGATCCCGTATGCTAATTAGGAACTAACCAAGAAGTAATTCTCACTAATCAAACCTTAATTACTCAGAATGATATTTCTATTAAAGCAGAGTAATAAATAAGATACAAAAGTAGGAGGAGATTACCGACAACTCCGGGATTCCTCCGATTCCTTCTATCTTACTCTCTCCCTATTCTAATATACAATAAAGTACACTAGAGCCTCTTGTAATTCAGCTCATGCTTTGGTGTGTGTGAATGAGGGAGAGGAGAAGGGTATTTATAGTGTGGAGGTGACTTGAGAGAGTGGAGATCCTCCAAGCATCCAATGAGCATCTTCATCCTCCTAGTGCCATGTGTCCAGCTGATGACGGTTATTCAGGTAAAGTCGGTAACTGCCGGCCTGTGAAGTTTGGGGCCGAACGACGCAGCTAGGGGTTCGGCCGAACCACTTGGTTCGGCCAAACCCTTTCTGGCCCGTTTTGCTCCGAATTTTCTCATGGGCTTTGGTGGATAACCCCTTAGCCCAAATGTACATGCAATTGGCCCATTTGAATGTGTTTCATTAGGTTTGTGGGTCCAAAGCTCCATAGGCTGGAAAATGGATGTTTAATTCACCTCCTCCTCCATGTATCTTTTGTCTCAACTTTGGTGGTTCGTCACCTGCATCCAAATATGCACCAACACTCGTGGAAATGGTTAGAAATAAACCCTACCACTACATTAGATGTTTTACTTTTATGGTTTTATGCAGGTATTGACGGCGTTATTTTGGCACTTAACAGCCGTCAACAAAACCCCCCAGACTTAGCTCTTTACTCGTCCTGAGTAAAGGTTATGTATTAATGTGGAATAAAATTTCCCAAGATATAATACAAGTACACAAATTATTCTAAGCCATACTTGTACCTGTGAACTTTTCAAGTGTCTAACTTACCACCTTGAGCAATTGATGAATGGAACGGTCGTGACTCAAGTCCTCCTTAATCCTCCTGTCAATCTCTTGGGGGTTTTTATATATTTTTGCAAAGTAGCTATACTTCTCAAATGACCTTCTCTCATATCACTCATGTGAATTTATTTGTGGATCCTCACCAAGGCATGTTTGCCGAATTGTCCCTATTCTAAGAGGTTGTATAGGTGGGGCTCGGTAGGGATCAATCGGGGCATACATGCATCACATATATTGCAAAGCCAAAATACCAGACCCAAGGAGATACCAAGTCATACTCTCTGATCAAGAATGTGCATGTGTGTGATATGTGCATGGGTATGTGTATGTGTATAGCAAGTTTTGTGGATGGAAAAAGGAAAATAAAAGATAACAACTCCTTTGATATACCTCCTCCTCTAATTTTTTCTCTTTGGAGATTTAAGAGAGTGCATGGCTATCTCTTTTCTTTTTTTTTCAATCATGGCCCATACTTTGTATGAGCAAGATTTGTTTTTTCATTTTTTTCTCTTTTTTTTTATCAATGCTCCATACTTGTATGAGCAATACTTTTTTTTTCCTTCTTTTGCATAGCCATGCCTCTCTCTATCTCTGTTTTTTTCTTTGAAAGAATTTTTGGAGGAAAAGGCATAAATGACATGGAGTATTTATTTTGTGGATAATGAATAAAATAAATAATGGATGAGGGATGCTAGCTTCCAGTGTAGAAGTTTAGCATAGTGTGTGTATGTGGAGTGTGCGTGCGATCTTGATCATGGAAGTATGAAAAGCATCTCACACGGGTCACAATAATTTGACAAAGCTTAATGTAATGTCAAGCAGCCTATGCATATATATAGTTTTTGCAATGATAACCATATATGGACTTGGTGGGTAATAATATAGTCACGGAGGAGTATTGCTCTAAAAGAACTTTTTTTAATTTTCGCAAAGACAAAATCCCAAGTATCATGACAGTTGGACAAGAATTTCTTTTGTCATAACCATATCACGTATATCAATTACTTAGATTAGCAAGGTTCCCCATGATAGATGTGTGTTCACAAGTAACAAGTGTTAGCAAAGAATAAAAGGTATATATGATCAATCATAGGACAATTCTATTCGTTGAGAGTTAATGTTTTCAATTTTTATTCGGAATCAAACTAAATTGTATTCAAGTTTTCTGCCAAGTTTAACTCACGAACAGGGGAGGATAAGGGAGGAGACGTGCAAACCTGACCACATGGCGAAGGATGACAGAGTCGGACTAGGCAAGGGTCGGGTGAATACTTGGTTCGGCCGACCCAGCTAGGACTTGGTTCTGACTGCTGAATTTTGTGCGCAGCCGTGGGCTAGTGTTCATCACATTGTTATGTTCAGTCGATGCTGTTGCGCGTCAGGAGTTCCGAAAAGACTCCCCCACACTTGTTTTGTACCTTGTCTTTATTCAAAAACATGGAAAGCAAAATGGGCTTCCACCGGGGTAAAGTACCGGTGAGCCTAATTTTATTCAAGTAACTCTAGGCGCATGAAGTGCCTAAATTTATTTTATTTTATTTCACTTTTATTTTTTTATTTATTTTTTTATGGCAACAATGAGCGCGGTGGGTATCCTAGCAGCACGGATATATGATGCAATGATACACAGGGTGTTTGAGATTCTTACCAGATCAGACTTACCAAGCTTTGAACCGAATCGACTGTAACAAAGTATTGCATTTGCTCTGCTTGGTTCCTTGTACATCTGCCTTCTCGTAGTCCAAGGAGCGTGGTATGAATGTTGAAGTTATTGTACACTACTCCTTAGTTGTCTTTTTATTTCCTGTAAAAGGTTAGTGGACAACAAATACCCGAGGAACTACAAAAAAATTGAAAAGATTTTATCATAGCCTCAAGATTAGTGGTTCACATCCATGCTAGAAAGGAATTGGATTGAAAACTTAATAAGCATGGATCCCATAAATTTGCCATAAATTTTATTTTTTGCCATTTTTTTCTTTTTACTTGAGAGAAAAATGTTTTTTTCGAGAGACATTTCTTTCATTCTTAAAAAAAAAATTTTTGTTCACCAAACTTTTATTTAAGAAAAACTCATACAGGGCTGAGATAAAGTTATATAACATAGCATAGGAGCATTTGGCAATATACGTACCGTGCACCTTGAGAGGTGATTGATTTGTTCCTAGCCCTTGACTTACCTCCAGTGTCACTCGTGCTTGAGAACTCACCCGTCAAATTGAAAAGTTTTCCTGCAGGGGTTAGTCCACGAAGGGTATACATCCATAGTCCATGATAGTACTAGCTCTATGGTTCATTTAGGCAAACTTGACACCACGTCAACTTTGATTAAAGCAGGCTATTTATCCTAAGCATCATGCTTAATTTAAAAAGCCTATGAATGTCGACGACCACCCAAACCATAGCATACGAAAATGGACTGAGGACACATAACCATGTATGATCAAGCCAGACTCCACTAGAGATAAGCATGAGTAAAAAAATGGTGAATCTTTTGCAGCATTTCGTATACCTGAGTGTACTTATCGCCAACATGATGTATATGTTGAAATCTCTGAAGCGGTGGCATGGTCAAATGTGATTGTCGATTTCTCCTCCGTCTTGATGAAGATTGTAGCGGAGGAAGGTACTTTAACCATGACAACTCAGGCGAGCGGTTTGGTCATGCACACACCTCTGGTGCAATAACCTTGTGCCTTGAAGGCGTGCTCCGTCGGTGCAATGCTGAAGAGACGTAGGATGCATCTCTTTCTGGGCAAGTATGCAAGTGCCAACTAGAGTGAGCAGCAAACACCTAGGAAAGAAGAGGGAATCTCCTCTTGCTTGTATGTATGTAGGTGTTGCGGGAG